CAAGCTTTCTTGAAAGTAGGTTGACTCGCCAAAAAGCTACCCTTTGGTTATTGGCAGAAATACTACATTGATGACCATTTGCAGAAAAGTCTGATTTTAAACCATCCACTGCCTTTTCAGGTCCAAAATTAGAAGGATGTGTTGTTTTCTGCCAGGTCGGATGTTTATATGCGATATTTTCTAAAAAATATACATATATAAAATTTTACATATAGATGTAATTTAATTCTCTAAAATAAAAGGTATTTATAAACGAACTGAGGAATTCTGCAAGAAAGACAAAAAAAAAATAAAACTCGTTGTTTCTCTAGAAAAAAAATCGGAAATTTACTTGAATTTAGATTTTATTTTTAATTCATTTTAAGCAAGTTTAAAAATACTGATTTCATTGAAAAAATAACAAGCAAAAGCATGACGGCATATTGAATTTAGGGAACAATAATCATAGTACTTTAGTTTGTTGTGGGCATCAACATTTTCCTGACAGATTATTCAACCAGATTGAAAGCAAAGGAACTGGTTGACATCAGTTATTATTAACGTCAGTGGTGCTACATGTAATGTCGATACAGAATGATGCTCGCCAATTTGAAAGAAACATTTCAAGGACAATTTGGCATTGGGGTATCAAAAATATACAAAAATAGGAAGAAACGATGCTTCTCCTTCAAGAGTGGTAGAAAAGGATCCCTTAAAAACTATCGGATCTTTTTTTTTTTTTTTTGCAACAGGGATATATTATGTATTCCCTCCTCCTCAAAGATAGAAATGTCCCTTCTAACTGTTCTAAACCGAATAAATATTCCCATTCAACAGAGGGTAATGGTAACCTTTATTTATTTGTAACTAATTATATACATATGGATATGATGTAACTATTCTCGCCGCGCTTAAAGGATTATACCTCCCCCCCCCCCCTTTAACACGGAATTTTTCCTTAATTGTTAAAAGCCAATTTTATATTCCAGCTTAAACCTGAATATAAATTATCTCCGTGATCCTTCTGAACAGTGAATAAGATATTAAGTAATCAATTGTTTGAGTCAAGCAAATACAAAATATTAATGTATATCTTAGAAAGATGTCATCAAAGCATAATAATACTTTTTTGCTATCAAAATTGAAGACTCATTTTGTCACACGTTTATATTATACAATTATTGACTTTTGATGAGGTCTACTCGTGACTATACGGACCTGGTCAGGTATTGGTAGACCTAGGCCGAAGGCCGAGGTTAACCAATTCCCGATCAGGTCCGTATAGTCACGAGCAGACCGAATTTAAAAGTCAATACACTTTAACCGTTTTATTAAATGATCAGGAATTTTACAATATTTATGACACTTTAGTTCTTGTCACCAACAAATATAAACACTCATAATATAATGCGTAGTGTACCAACACATAATTATCATTGTAGTTATATTTCAACAGCTTAACAAATGTTTAAAAGATGAAAACAATATTATTAAACAATAATTATTGAACTTTTTACTAAGAAATGAGTTTAGTCTCTTCGAGTATTAGCATCTGCCATGTTTACATTAACAACAACTCATACTATGGTTGGTGAACGGGTAAAACCCGAATAAAACTCCCGGAACTTCATTTTGAGGTGAACTCACCCTGAGGTACACCTCAGAAAAAGGTGTCTAGACCAATTAAAGAGCATCAAAATTCCTGCTCATTTGATGATTTGCAAGATTATATAAAACAGATGCTGTTTTGACCAAAATTAAAGAGATGGAACGTTTTACTATCCTCAGATTGCATGAAGTCTTACGTATTTCGCAGCTTTTCCCGCGGAATCCTGGCTCACATTGAATACATTCACCTGTTTCTATGTCACATTGCAGGCAATTTTGTAAACAAGGAAGAAAACAATCTTTACCATAATAACCTTCCAAAGGGCATCCTATCAAAATAGGAAGTTTTAAAATTAACTAAGACAAAAAAAGATCTGATTAATCAGGTAGGCATCTAATTCGAAACACTAATTTAAAGAAAACAGTTATGCTGAATTGTTGTTATATTAGAATTATCATCAATATCATGATGATAAATTTGAAGTCGAAAAATTAATACAATTTAGTCATTAATTTACCGTAAACTTCAACTTCACACAACTCATTAAAAGCAGTTTCAGAATAGTCCTGAGGATATTCTTTCGTGAGAAGTCTTTCATTATGATATATAACATATTGTCCGTGAACGGTACAAGTAATATTGACGACATCTGCGATTGTTGTGATGTTGTATTCGTTATCATGGAAACACAATGTTCCATCTTCCTTGTTTCGTGTATTTGACACAAAAACCGAGAAGCCCAGAAACCGTGTCGTAAAGTGATTGTCACTATCTGGAATAAATATTTGTCAGTCAATCTATAACATTGTTAATTGATGAGCATAAATTGCTTCCAATTCTAGATCAGACCTATATAAATTTTCATATATTAACATTCAAATTTCAAATTATTTCCTTAATTAATGTTTAATAGGCTCACTAATCCTTCAAAGAGGAAAACAAACATATATCAAAATGTGTAAAATTTTAAAAATAGTAATTATTCCTTAATGACAAATAATTAAAAGTTTCTTAATTTTTTTTTTACAAAACGATCTTACCCCAAGGGACGTTATCGGTTCTGTAATAAATAATAATATGGTGGATACTAAGGATGTCTTGAAGGTCAACCCACCAGGTGGCTGTGGTTTGACCAGTGGTGGATATGGAGCACTGGTGTCCAAACCAAGAACGGTTGAATTTAAGTCCATCAACAGCCTTTTCTGGTCCAAGTCCAGAATGATTCAAATATGTTGTAGCTTGCCATGTAGGTTTAAGAAGTGCTATATTTTCTAAAGTAATACAACAAAGGAGTCCACTACTTGGACACTTATTACGAAAACCCATAAAAATCGAGAATATTATTTTTCCTTTAAGCCACATAAAAGTCAAACCCTAAGGTATATATAAAAGAAAATTATTTACCATAAGAACAAGACTTTCTTGGAAAAGCCAGAGCTATAATCATACTCAGAATCATTTTGATCCAAGAACATCTCATTAATGTGGATATAAATAAATTCACTTCCTGTTTAGCAACGCATGCTTAATTTGATTGGCATATATTATATTTGGTTTGATTTGATCAATTGGGAAGTATATAACCAAAACGAAAGCTGATACAAAATGAAGATAAATGATAAACTATCAATTGGAACCATAAACCAAGTTGCTACTTTAGAAGAGGAAGATACGATGTAACAGAAAAAGGCTACAATTTACTTTATAGAATATAACTATATTCATTTTGATCAAGGATAGCTTTTACTATGTGTATGTTTCCTTTATGTACCTATGCATCATCTTACACCATTTATCAATGGGAAAATAACTTATTTTTTTTCAAATACTTTAGATAAGCTACAAAACGGAGGCGTGGTCTAACTAATATGTAATGACCATACAAAACCGACTATTCTAGAAAATACATGTACAACAAAATGAAATAATGTGCGATTTTAAACTAAAGGAGAGCATTAAACCACATGAAAACTTACATACTTAATATGTTTTTTATCGTTAGTTAAAACCCACATAGCAACGTATATACAAGTCACTGATCGCAAAGAATTTGTCGTAGTAACGTCATTCCGTAAAACTTGACGAAGTTTGTATACAATGAGAAGCGAATCAAGAAAATATTTTCACAATAAAAATGTATTTTGTAATTAAATAAAACATAGTTTTCAGATATTTAACAGGTAATTAACTTGAATGTGGTGTCTTTTTTTTTTTAAATGTTTTACCCATACATTTTCCGTAAATTTCCTATTTTACCGATACTGTATATTTGTATGCAGAAACACTGGAGGGTAATATAAGGGTCCCAATAAATCGATCTAGTGCAAGAGCATACAATCAATGGATCATAGTAAGCTTTTACGCATAAACACTAGAAACATTAAAGTAATTGAAAATCGCTGCGATCCTGGTGAAATCTTGAAAATGAATTAAACATTTGTATATCAAATACAGTAGACCAGCAAAAAAAATAATAATAATTAAATAGTAGAATCTATACATATAGGATATAGGACACAGCTACAATGGGTGTTGAAAAAATATATATACTAAACTTAAAATTTGAACTTGGAAATATCCTTGCAATATTGAAATTCATAGGTTACCTCAATACTGCAAGTATATTTGCTAAAATCACGTGACTGCCACATCATGTATCAAGTCTAAATAGAAAATCGTATCGTCGTAAATGTGTGGTTACTAACCATATTTCATTTTTCTGATATTAGTAGAGTACTTAAAAAGAAGGGCCATCCTGAGTACGAATGTACTTTTTTATCCCAAAATATCGCCCTCTTAATATCTCATCAATTTTGATCATTGTCCGTTATCTTCACGTTTTACATCAACATGAAGGTATCCGTATGCGCTAAATAATAATTTCATATGCAAAATGAATCAATAAGGGACAATAAAAAAAAACTTAACATATACATGTATTCCAAAGTTAATTTCTTAGGAATAAGACTGGTCTGCAATACACGTTTGATACACAGTATACACCTCGATGTTCTACTGAGAATTTTTCGTACATGTGTCTTCAATTTGATTTGATGTGCTACGTTTTGATAACCAGAATGAGATACAGTGATAGATCATCAGTATGCCAACTTCTTTTGTGACTATTGGACTAATACCATAAAAGGCAGTGAGCAACAAGACTCACATTAGTTATCACCACGGTACTGTGATTTCCAAGAAATTTTATAACATTTCTCCCTTCAATGATGATTTCACGGATTGTCGAAACCTTTTTTTTTAATTAGACACAATATTATATAATTTATAGTTTACGTGACAATTGTTCACAGAGATACCGTCGGTCATATGCAAAGTGCAAAACTGAAAAATAATTGGCTGCAGTTTTAAACAACTCGCCCAAAGACCCATATAACCATTGTGTGCTATATTTGCAAGATTGGACAAGGTGTTTAAATTCTTTAGCATGTGCTGCACATTTGTTAAGTAATCATTTTCGATTAAATGGATTGCCAATAGAATCGAGAAGTACATATTCGTTTTAAATATTAATGTATCCAATATGTTGACATATATTCAATTAAAACATATTAAACTTTAATGCAATGATGATAATAAGTCTGGTACTAATTTTCTTTTAATGACACGCCATATACAATGTTATGATGCAGATAAATTAAAGGATTGTTCATCATATTATCGGTTACATGTGTATTTGAAAAAAAAAAAATATTTTTTGGCATAAGAATAAATGAATAAAAAAAAACGTGATTTAAAAAGTCAGATACTTAATGACAAAGGATCATTGTAAGGAAGTGTCAAAAACATAGAAGTAGTTTCAAACATTCAGTGTTTTCGTTAAAGAGCGGAAGATCAATATTTATATTTCTTTACATATTGTAATAATCACTATTCGTGTTATTAAGGAATTGCAGTTCGGTGTAACTTCCTCCATTATTTTGTTCCTCGACATCCAGACTGACTGATCCTGTTTGTACTCCTGCTGACATAAAATCACGTCTGGAACCACAAGAGTGTGCCTTCTGTCGTTTTCTTTTCAGACCTGAATCGTACCTTTTAAAGATAACTAAAGGTCAAACAGAATGAAAGTCTACATGGAAAGTCATTGAGAGTTTTTATTTTATAAAAAAAAATGTGCTCAGATATTTAAGATCCTTTGAGTACTTTGAGTATTTATTGAATTAAATCATGTTGTTCTATCAGAAGAAAATAAAATGGACAAAGCTGAAATGGTGTGGTCTTATGTGGTGTTTGTTACTAATTATAATTAATTATAAAATATTATTTATTTGATGACCGTTTACGGTAACTCAGTAGGTAGAGCGCTCGCTCCGTGATCGGGAGGTCGTGAGTTCGAATCTCGGCTGCAAATCACACAAGTCGATAAAAATGGTAGCAACTGTTCCTTCGCCATGCGCTCTGCACTTTGAAGTGAAAGTTGCAGGTCCTTCGGATGAGACCTTAAAAACCGTGGCCCCGTGTCACGGCAAGCGTTGACACGATAAAAATTCCTCACTGCTCAATGACCCTGAGTGTCGGGTAAAGGTCTAAATTTGAAGCCCTACACCAGTATATGGTGACTTCTCTATAATATGGGTGAAAAATTCTCGAATGGGAAGTAAAACAACATACAATCAATCAATAATTGATAATCCTCAACATTTTACCTGCTTATGCAGTAGGCAAACACAAGACATATGTTGATTGACAGGCTAACTGACAATACCGCAACTGTTTCCATTGATCCAAGAATTCTGCTCACTTTATGATAGCTAACTAAATTTTGCAATAGTGAAATTAAGAAAGATTACAAACCAATTAAATGCATTTTATGAATAAAGATTTTTTTTGTATCTGAAAAGAAATATAATTAATACGTGGGCAATAAGAATAGATATGTATGTAAAAAATTACACTCAAGACAATCCAGGCCTTCCCATCCAAGTTTACAGCCATCCATGCAATGTCCACTGATTCTACTGCAGTTTCGGGACGTTGAGCAAAACATACTGCACTCCTGTTGACAATTGACTCCAAAATATCCAAAATCACACTCTGTAACAGTATAAAAACTGATAACCTTAAAATACGTATATTTTTCTTTCTTAACTTAAACGATCGGACATCTTCTAGACTAATAAATCTTATCTGTTTACATCCACTGATCAGTTAGTTATTTACAGTGAATTTTTTTTCTCCAAGCCATGTGTATGAAAGATATCTTCAAGAAGTAGGCTTTTTATCGATGTAAAATATAGATTAATAATACAATAGTTTACGTACTCTCATCCACTCAATACTAATAACTTGTTCAGATTTAAATATAAACAAAGAAAAGCTTTCTTTGTTAATACAGGAATTAAAGACTGCAACCAATGCAGAAAAATGTGCATAGCCGGCTTATGAGGATAACGTATTTTTCTGCAATGCGCAAACCATCCATAATCCATGTATTAATAGACAAAGTTTAAATATCGATTCATCAATTCATCAGTCCTTCCTTCCAACTATATAACTAAATATATATCTACCGTCATGACATGTTTTCCCATTGTATCCTGCCTCACACACTCCAGCACAACTTCCGTCAACATTGCTACACGCTCCAGTGCATCTTCCACAATATCCACTGCAATTTACACCATATGTTCCTAAAGCACACTCTAAAAATATCAAAATAGAGTGTATGATTTCAGTTAAGATAAGTTTCAATGAAATTTTTTATTCTAAGAAAAGTTCAAGTATTTTTGTTATTCAACACAATAAAAAACCTTTTGTGTAAATGAACACATTAAATTGATGATAAAAATGAACCAGGTCTAAATTCTAGTAAAATTTTCTATGGTCGAATAATTAAAATGAAGAAGGCCACACCAGCCAATAAACAGAATGCATTTAAGCAAACCCAAATTGATTACAATATAATATCCCATTCTTGAAACAGCATGATGTATGCGAGGTATATTGAAAGGTTAGACGACAGATTTTCCAATTATGTGAAATTTAACGAAGTCTTTGTAAGTGAAGTTTGTCTACATAAAAAGTTTCTTCAAGAAAAAGTGAAGTATATTTCCAGGCATTTGTGCGAGATTCCAAAGAATGGTATTTCCTTTATATTCATCAAACTTGAAATAACCTGATTTGTGGATATTTTTATTTTAGTGTACATGTAATGTTTTGAGACATATTTGAACCAGTTTAGAAGATAGCAAAGATTATATGCATAGAAAGAAATTCGAGGGACATACCGTCAGACCTTATTAACTGTTTAAAATGTACCTTTGTTACACTTAATTCCTAAGTAACCTGCAAAACACCCATTTGTACAGTGTCCATTTACATGACTGCAGTTTCCGAAACATTCTCCACATTGGCTAGTACAGTTTGGTCCATATGTTCCTGATGCACATTCTATATAAAAGATTAAAAGATTATTTATTTATCTACTATGCAGATGTG